TTTCAAGGCCACTGATCTACATAGTGAGTTCCAGGATAGCTGGGGCTACAGGGAAACCCCATCTTAAAAAGACCAAAAAAAAAATTATTATTTTCATTTTATGTGTATGTATTGTCTGCATGTATGTGAGTGCACCTGTGTCATGTCGTGCAATGCTGCAATGCTGCGGAGGTCAGAAGAGGGCTTCGGATTCCCCTATAACTGGAGTTAAGGACGGTTCGTAGCCGCCATGTGGATACTGGGAATCAAACCCAAACCCCATCTTAAAAAGACCAAAAAAAAAATTATTATTTTCATTTTATGTGTATGTATTGTCTGCATGTATGTGAGTGCACCTGTGTCATGTCGTGCAATGCTGCAATGCTGCGGAGGTCAGAAGAGGGCTTCGGATTCCCCTATAACTGGAGTTAAGGACGGTTCGTAGCCGCCATGTGGATACTGGGAATCAAACCCAGGTCCTCTGCAAGAGCAGTCAGTGCTCTTAACCGCTGAGCCATCTCTCCTGCCCTGAATACAGATTTATAACTAGTTTAAAAAGAAATACCAGGACTTGAGAGATTGCTCGGTGGTTCAGAACACTTGCTGTTCAGTTATAAGGAGCAGAAGTCAGATACCAGCATCTGCGTTGGGCAGTTCACAATGCCTATAATGCCAGCTTCAAGGGCTCTGACACCTTTTGGCCTCCAAGGGCATCTACACACACATGTGCATCTATCCACAGAGGCACTTGTATACACACATAAAATAAATCTGATTTTTTTTCCTTTTGAGACAGGGCCTCATTATGTAGCCTTAACTGATATAGAACTCACTCTGTAAACCAGGCTGGCCTCAAACTCACAGAAATCCAGCAGCCTCCCAAGTTCTGGGAAAAATAAATCTTTATAAAAAAGAATATGAATTCTTCATAAAACTAGTATAACATTTCATTTTTGAAGCCAAAAAGGCCCTATTATTAGATTATTATTACCTTGATCCCTACCTGTGCATACACACACACACACACACACACACACACACACAGAAACCTGAATCCTATTCAAACATTTTGTTCCACTTAAATTTTAGGGTTCTCACAGACACCTGTTCTAATATTCCTGAGGGAAAAATAGCCAGTATAATCATTTCTTGATTCCCCTTCTCAGAATGTCTTTTGTTTTAAATGTGATAAAATTATACTAAAAATGCATTTATCAGGACTTGAGAAACAGTGAGAGTGCTTCAAGCTCAGAGGAGGAGCCGAGGGTCACCACCCGTGTCATTCGCCGGCGTGTGATCATAAAGGTACCGGAGGTGAACGTGACGGGACGGGACGCTGCTGGAGCACTAGAAACCTTTAACGTAGTTCAGAAAGCTCAGCATGCTTGATAACGAGATGGCTGTGTTTCTTTGCACACTTGAAAGCTCGTGAAAAGAACCACTCCAAAGAAAGTCGTGTTATGTGTTAGTGAGGGTTCTGCACAAGCCTGTTGGACAGGTGACAGCTGTGGTTTTATCTGGGGACCTTTGGCATCTGTATCCTGCTCCTCTTGGAGGAGTGCTGAATGCTCTAACAAGGATCCTGTCCTGATGAGGGGGTGTGGTTCGTAGCACATGCAGTGCTCAATTCAAGGGCTTTCTTCTCACCCCGAAGTCCTACTGCCTTGACTTGGAAATGAAAGCCCGTTCTTCATTGCCAATCAGGGACTGAGAATTTCAGGTCACACCTGGCATAGGGAGGGTGAGGGTGAGGGTGAGGGTGAGGGTGAGGGTGAGGGTGAGGGTGAGGGTGTGTGTGTGTGTGTGTGTGTGTGTGTGTGTGTGTGTGTGATAATACAAGTCAAGCCAAAGCTTCAGAAATAGGTTTTAACCATACTAACATGCACAATAAATTAAACCTAGGAAGCACTTTTCACTGGAAATGAAAGCCTCCGCCCTCTTAGGATGCAATTGCAAACACCGGGAATAAACATTCATCACCCCTCTCTGGAAGAACCGACCTTATGCATGCGGAGTTCACCTGCATGCTTCCTGCTGCCTACTGCTCATCTTTCCTGACCTGAGAATAGTTGAATACAGAGAACAGGGGGGCTGTTTCACTGCACTCTGGAGTGAAGGGCTTTTCCATAGGATAATAAAGGAGTGTCTTGCTGGACCAAGCCAGGCATTTGACCATTCAGACCACCCCCGTGGCAAAGAAGACAGTAAAGTACCTCACCCTGCCCTTGCTGGAGCCTTTGGAGGGGCTCAGTGCTGAGGATCTGACCTGAGGCTTAGGAGCTGGAGACCACACCACACTGGGGGCCACAGGAAGCCCTTGGGCCCTATTCTCCACACTAGAACCTGTTAGGGAGCTGCTCAGTCCCTCCGAGGGCTAGCTCTGGCTGGGAAGCATCTCCTTTAGGAATCCACACATGAAAGATTCCCTGCCACAATATGAGCCTCTAAGCTTTCTGCTTGTACAGTGAATTGGTTCAGAGCGTGAGCGTGTGACTTTTCTCTCTACTTTCACCTATGGAATTCATTTTTAAATAACATTTTAATTCTTTTTAGTTACTATTTTCATATCCCTGTGGAAAGAATTGGGTTGTGCACTCTCCTATTCGTAATAAGCTGTTAGGTTTTATCCGTGTGTTCATTCTTTGTATATGATTTGATAGAATAACAGTGGTCGCAAATGCTTAGAAGGGCTTGTCATTGATTCCTCTAAGCTTATCTCCTTATAAAATCTAGTGATTTGATTTTTTTTTTTTTCTTTTTCAGACAGGGTCTCCCTGTAGCTCCAGCTGACATAGAACTTGATATGTAGACCAGGCTGGCCTTGAACTCACAGAGATCCACCAGCCTCTGCCTCCCAAGTGCTGGGACTAAAGGTGTACACCACCATGCCCAGCTCAAAGGTAAAATTTTAAAGCAGCTCTCAGCCAAACTAGCATGAAGTTTGGTATGACTGACATAATTTTCCTATATATAATGCAAATCTATTATTTCAATTTTCAACATTTTTCTGGATTTTAAAGAGTCCATGTGTATGCTTCCCCAGAATCAAAGAATTCAAAATTATTTAACATTCTTTCAATTCTGTTTCCCAATGGTAACTACCCTTTGCAAACTTCACACTGTCTTTTTACACAGATACATCATATATAGTACATGTACATACACGTCATTACATGATGGGTCTCTTAGCATATAGCAGTGGGTTACATACTACACAGATTCATCCATAACTTGCTCTTTGCAAAATAGATGAATTTCATTGTGTTTCTGTAAGTTTTATCATCCACATCAGAGCACACCGGCACATCGTGTGTTGTCATACTTCCATTTTATTCAGAGACGTCTAGAAACTGGAAATAAAAAGTGTGATGGTCGTAGCAGGAGTGAAAAGGGAAGTTCTGTTGTGTGTTTATTGAAATGACTGTAGAGACAAAGATGCAAACCTATGTGACCCATAATATCTGAAGTGGGAGGGGAGTTGCCGAGAAGTCTGTTGTCAACAAAACTAGGTAGAGGGCATTTTGTTTAGAAGTACAAAGAGTCTTCGAAGCTAATGAGACCGTATTCTCCCCCCCCCCCATTATAACGGGGTCCCAGAGGTCTCTTCGTTGGAACATTTGTTCTCTAAGATACTTGACAAACTTAAAGAGACATGGATTTTAAGGTCCTGTCTCCTGTACTTGCTCTCCTGTCTGATCTTGACTCCACATAATGAGACTGCTTATTTGGGTCTTATTGGAGCAGTTATATAAGTGGCTGTTTAAGATCAAGAGGACCATCTGCACCTTTCATTGTGGGTAAAAAGTGCGACAATGAAAATGCTTGCACACCAGAACAGTTCTCAAGAATCAACATGGCTTATCGTTTCCAAGTCGGGCTTTGATTTTTCTGAGGGTGTCAATCTGGATCAATACACTTGTACACATTCACCACGCCTCTAAACATAACTCGTTCCTTTTGGGGACTGTTCAGACAGTTTAGTGTCTTTTCTGCAGAAGGACTTTCTCAGAACCGGTTGAGCAGAGCTCGTTTGCTCGAGTCTCCTAAGATTCTTTCCATTGTTCCACTCCAACAGCTGGTGCTTGAGTGAACTCAGATGTACTCATCCATTCAAGCTTAGACTAGTGAGATATTTCATGACCTTTCATTGGTAGTTTTCCCGTCTTTACACCTTCATCCTTAAAATGTTATTTTCTCCACATATATGAAACTCACCATAGAAAATATAAATAGCTCGCCTATAAAACACTTGTTGCAAACTTCAGGGTGTTCAGACACAAGACTACGCTTTCCTTGTCTTTGTATTCACTGAAGCTTCTCGTACGCAAGATTAAGGACGAACTCAACACAAGACCTTTGACAGTTCCTACCCTAAATTAGAGAACAGTTACTAACCAAAAGAATCGACATCATAGGAATGTAAGGTGATCTTTCCACCCCTCTGGCCTATGGTACTGTTGGTGGTCTGTTACCCTATCAGACTGTGGGAGAGTTCTTTAAGAACCTACCAACACAGTCATTCTCAGGATCACAGCCTTAGCCCCATGTAGACGCTTCCTACCTTGAATTTTTTTCATATTCTTTTTTACGAAGGTGTATTACCGTTAGTGAGTGGATTGTTAAGTATCATCTCCCAGCAAAGTGCTGTTTTACTCAGATTAGACAGCACTCACTCCGCAGTCTCAGTGAACGTGGTGTAACTGACTCTGGAGCATTGCTCTAAGGCATGTGCTCACAACACTAATCCCTGACTAACATTTTTCTCAACAAATGAAGCCTCTTGGTTTTCCTGTGGGTAACTGAGTTCGAAAATACGTATTTTTAAGTTCTTGGAATTTGTTGCCAACTACCACCCATGCCTGGATTCATGCTTGAGGTGTAATATTGAAGACTGTTGACTGTCAACCACTCATAACACTGGTTTCTTCTGCCCGCCATGTAGAGTTTGGAATTTTTTCATCTACAGCCCCAGAGCATGTATGTGTGCTGTGTAGGGTGTCATGGCTTCCTCTCCCCTCTCTCTCTCTCTCTCTCTCTCTCTCTCTCTCTCTCTCTCTGCCCCCCATGTCACTGACCTCTGTGCCAAATCCTTTAGGGAGAGGAAGCAAAACACATTCCTGGTGAATCTGTCACGGAAGAGCAGTTTACTGATGAAGAAGGCAACCTCATCACCAGAAAAGTAATCCACCACTGAGATTTCATGCTTCTCTTGGAGTTAAATGCCCTGCATGACAAACTCTGTTGTGAGCTACTGAGCCTCCTCTCCACAGTGGCCTCCACCTGTCACTTTACCTCCTACAGATCACTCGGAAAGTAATAAGACGGATTGTCCCACAAGAGAGAAAGCAGGATGGAGTGGTAATGTAGAGGATTACCAAGGCAAAATAGACTGTAGAACCTGTGTGCTCCCCTGCTAACAGACCAGCTGCTGCAGCCTGGAAGCTTGGTGCATTGCCGTGGTTGTTTCCGATACAGATGCCGCATCAGGGTCCAAAATGTCAACTTCCTTCCCACCGTGCCTTAATGCTGTATACGAACTGTCTTCAGAATGCTCAGAGATCAGTTCACTTACAAGGAACAGAATGTTCCAGTTGTAGGGAGGAGGAGCTGGGTATCTGTCTGGGGCACTGAGGAAGGACAGGCTAGGCTGGCAGGGAGTTTGGTTTATGGTCCTCATGTCTGGTCTCTGGGGTTCCCTGCTCAGCACACTTTGTAGGAAAATGTCAAGTCCATTGTCACCCAACTTGCATCCCGCTTGGGGCTGCCCTGCGTCCAGTGTGCAGAACCAAACCAAGCTTGTAGCTCTGAGTGATTCACCCAGTGTACCCTTTTCTCTCAAAGACAACATCTCACTAGTATTCTTTCCTACTTCCTATTACAAATAGAAAATTAATTATATTGGGTTTACTGAAAAAGAAAGTGAACTGAGAACGTCTGAGGACCAAATGGGAAAGTAAGAACCCTTGTGTCTTGTTTTCAAATGGAGTAAAACCATGTAAAGCAGCCTTGCTCTCAGAGAACTGTGCCCCCAACACCAAAAAGAAGGCACTAATTTGTGGAAAACTGATAGCATCTTGGACCAGGATTGAAAGGACAGTGTGGGAACGCCACAGACTATAACCAAGGGCAGTTTCAGCATCCCCGTGCATTTAGCTCCTGTTTAATGCTTGTTTGAGAAACTCCTGTCTCACTATAGTAGATCAATTAAAGTTCTACAGGCTTGCAAAATACTAAATTTTGATTACTACTAGTTTTTAAAATTTAGACTTTGGGTGCCTTATGAGTATGATGGCAATTTCCTCTACCTGACAGCAGGAAATGGGCCAGCTGTTCTTTAAAATCATTAACCCGCTGCGGTGCTGTGAAGTAAGGTGGTGCTGTGGTTATGTACTATGGTTATTTTGGATGGACTCTGGCTTGCCGTGGTAATGCTGTGCTGTGTGGTTAAGCCAAGCACATAATCTGCCTCTGGGATATGAAGAGATTGAGTACTTTCAAGAGTTCTTCTCCTAATCCAGCCTCCAAGGATGAGTGGGGACTGCTTCAAAGCTCCTCCACCTCACGATCTTAAAATGTGTTTCCTTTTAAAGCAGGGAGAAGGTTGTAAGGTGAAAGCGAAGAAGGAGATCCGGCACATGGAAAAGAAAAGCCATTCCTAACAGTGACGGTCAGTCTAGGTGGGAAGTGCATTTACATCAGCAGTGGGACTTATATTTGCATGAATTTTCGAGATTTCCTTAATAAGTAATGCACATTTTCTCCATTGCACTGAATTTCTCCTGAGAAAAATGTGATATGAACTTGTTCCTGTTCTTTGTATGTTTCTAGATACAGATGTGTGTGTATGTGTGTACACATTAAACTTGGACTCAAGCTCAGTGTATAAACATTGCCCTTGTAAATCAGAGTGGAATTTAAATGCAAATGACCATTTGCAGAAACAAATATAAAACTGGTTTTTGAGTCCCCCACTCTCGATAACTGTGAGGGCTAGCTATGACGTGAAGTTTTGAGTCCCCCACTCTCTGTGAGGGCTAGCTATGATATGACGTGACTGCAGACAGTCCTAACGGGAGCACCAGCAGGACATACTTCCCCCAGAGCACTCAGAGCCCGCCTGCCTTTCACCATGCTAGCAGAACATCAGCCCGAGGCAATAGTTCCAGTTAAAACTGAGCTGTTGCTGAGTCTGAATTAAATGAGTAAAATCCAATATACTATTCATTTTATATAAACCAAGACATTAATGAGGTCAATGATCTATGGTTTTTGGGGGGTTTTCGTAAAAATATTTTTTATTATTTTTATTTTATGTATATGCATGTATTGCCTGCATGTAGGTCAGTGCACCCATGTCATGCCATGCCCAAGGAGGACAGAAGAAGCTGTCAGATCCCCTGGAACTGGAGTTACAGACAGTTGTCAGCTGCCATGTGGGTGCTGGGATTCGAACCCAGGTCTTCTGCAAGAACAACCAGTGTTCTTAACCACTGAGCCGTCTCTCCAGCCCCATCCTGTTTTTTTTTTTTTAAGTTAAATATTTAGGAAGTTTGCCATGTTTAAATTTGTCTGGACTTTGCTCTGCAGGTCACACTCTTTTCCTTTAACATTGCTTTTCTGGATTTCATATCATTCTTTTTAACAGACACACTTGGGAAGCCAATTGGGGATGAGAAAACAGTTTTGGAAAGTCATGTCCTTACAGTCACTCAGATCTATCCTCTGAGCCCCAAGGCAAGAACAACAGAGCGAACTTTCTAGTTTCTCTTCATTTTCTGCCCTCTCTTGCCCACGGAGTCCTGACACCTGAGTACTGAGATAAAGAATTGAGGCATAGTCTTATCTTGGATACTAAAGCCCAGAGAGAATTTTGTTTTTTTTAGACCTGGTCTCACATATTTCAGTCTGGCCTTGTACTTCCTATGTTCCTGAGCATGACCTTGAACTCCTGATTCTCCTGTCTCCACCGCCTAATTGCTAGGCTTACAGGCCTAGTTTATGTAGTGTAGGGGATCAAACCCAGGGCTTTGTCCGTTAGGTAAGCATGCTTCCAACCACAATTCCATTCTGTTCCTAGTTAGTCCCAGAGCCCTTCTCTGGCTCCATTCCTTCAGTATAAGAGTATTGAAATGCAACCAGGTGCTCTTCCTGGTTCATTAAGTTTTCTGTCAAAATCACTCACACATTATAATCATCACCTATCAGGTGACTCTTAAATGCCAGTGTGAGGTAAAAGCATTGCATGTTACCCGACCAGAGTTACCAAAACAATGCTGTGAGACTTTAGAAATGAGGAGACGGAGGTTAACGGAGTGCTACTGAGAAGGCTGAGAAGCAAAGGAATGAAATTTCAACTTGTCTGGACACCACATTTCTTAACCATTTCTTCTATTAAAAAGTAGCACTCGCCAATGAGAGATTGAAAAGCGGATTTTGAATCAAATACATGCACGAAGAAAACTCGTAAATTTCTTCGCACTGAAAAAAAAAACAAAACTTGCAGTTTTTCTGTCCTTTTGTAAAACAAGTCTTCATTTTAAACTATGTATAATCTCCAGATGTTTATTTCCAGTACCGTTTAAAGGCTGCTTAGTGAGGTCACAGCAAGGGAACATCCTCAGAGAGAGGCCAGGATAGACTGGCTATGCTCCAAGTCCCGGGTGAGAAAATGCTCAGGGTCTCAGCCACACAGAAGCCAAAGGAGGCCGCAGAGCCTCTTCCGAGGCTAGCACGCAGCTCCTTCCCTTCGTTCACACCTTTGAAGGGTCCTTGACCCTCTGCCTGGCTCAGAGTGGAACTAGATAGGCAGCAGCGGCTAGACCATCCGTGACCCCTACTGTCTGAAGTTCTCACATGAGGAAAGGCAGGCAAGTGGATTACACACCAGCTAAGGAAATGGGAACATCTTTAGACTTGGAGCCAGAGGAGGGCTCTGGGACGTCGGGATAACTAACTAGGAGCAGAATGGGGAAGGGGTAGGAAAGGCCCTCTGCACCCCAGGAAATGAAGGCAGGTCTGTGTACTGGCATCTAGGGAGATGGGGTTGAGGGAGGCCGGCCTACAGTAAAGTGGAGGAAAGGGTTAGGTTTCATTCTGAGAGGAAGCTGCAGCCTTCAAAGAATTTCTTCTTTAATTTTTTTGAGAGTCTTATGTAGACCTGGAACTTGCTACATAGAACAGCTGGCCTTGATCTCATAGTGATCTGCTGGCCTCTGTGTCCTGAGTGCTGGAACTAAAGGCACCGCCACACCCAGCAACCTGTAAGCAACACTTTGATCTGATGGGTTTTGTTTTGTTTTGTTTTTTTCCAGAGCTGAGGACCGAACCCAGGGCCTTGCGCTTGCTAATCAAACGCTCTACCACTGAGCTAAATCCCCAACCTGATGTTTTTTTAGAACTTGTGTAGAGAATGAATAGGGGAGAATAAAATTAAAGCGACCTGTTAGGAGATGATTGCTAGATCTAAGCTAAGCCACAGCAATGGCGTGGGCTGGGGACCTGGTTGTATGTTTAAAGAAGATGGGTACTTGCTAGATTAGCTTTGGGTAGAGTGGAGAAGAAGAATCAAGTTTGCAGACAATTGGGTAGTGAGGAAGGAGAAGTCTAAGAGGAGTAGCTTGAAGATGACCGGCAAATGGGCTCTAAGGAGAAGTTGGAGCTGGACTTACAAATGTGGGTGTTGCCACTGGAGCTGAATATTGATCATTATAGAACAGATGTCATTATCTGGGGAGAAGACAGAAGTACAGAGTGTGGGAGTGAGTTCCAGGGAGGGCAACATTTTCAAAGAATTTAAGGGGCTGGAGAGATGGCTCAGTGGTTAAGAACACTTGCTGTTGTTCAAGAGGACCCAGGTTCAATTCCCAGAACCCATATGGTGGCCAACAACCATCTGTAACTCCACTTCCAAGGTATTTGACACCCTTTTCTGGCCCCTTGGGGCACTGTACAACATGGGCGCACTTACATACATGCAGGCAAAACACTCATGCACATACAATAACAATAAAATCTTTTTTTTAAAGAATTTTAAGACTGTGCTTTCCACTCCCACATCTTAAGATCCCTAACCATAGCTTTCATTCATTTTGCCTTTCAGAGACTAGGTGGTTTCCTTTTTAATTGTATGTATGTATATGTATGGGTTTGTGCACATGAGTGTAGTGTCCTCAGAGGCCAAAGGCATCGGGTTCCCTGGAGCTGGAGTTACAGGCAGTTGTGACCCACCTGACACCAGGGTTCGGGGAACTGAACCTGGGTCTCTGCAAGAGCAGTGTGCGCTCTTAACCACTGAGCCACCTCTCTAGCCCCAGCTAGGTGGTTTTAAAACCCCCACTCCAGTCTAAGATGATCCATATGTTTAGAAGATTTGCTTGGTTTTGCCTCAGAATAGTAACCAGTGCAATTTCTCAGTGGATGAGAGAAACTTTCCTGCACTGAGTACAGGTTAACCACCCAAAGTTTATGAATAAGAGGCCACACACACTCTTATCTACATTTCTATCTATACAAGGTGTGCTGTGCACTGTATAGGAGACAGAGGACCTATTCTAAATGGCTGCTGCTCATTTGAGGAAACTCTTGTGCGATGTAATTTTATAGTCTACTCTGAATGGCACATGTGATCATAAGCAACCTAAATCTAAATGTCGTAGAACAAACAGAATGCTGATAACATCTACCAGAACAGTTACCACCAACAGAAGATACCTGTGAGACTTCTCGGAACTGAATTTTTAAACTTGCTCTCACAGGGTAAGATTTGGGAGACGTGGAAGATGCTGGTTATGCTCAGAGTTTGGCCTTGTTTGTGTGTATGTACATAGGAACTAGAGGTCCATGCCAGAGGTCCACACCAGGTGCCTTCTTCAACCCCCTCCGCCATATTGTGGTGTATATATGCACTACTTGTGGGTGTGATGCCAACGGAGACCAGAGAAGAACATAAGCTGTTCTGCCCTACCACCCTGAGACAAAGTCTGTTACTGAACCGAAGCTAAGCTAATGGCCCTCAGGCCCCAGTGACCCTGCCATCTCTGTACCCCACAGTGCCAGGTTTGCAGCCGGGAGTACATGACAATGACAGACTTTTTACCCAGGTGCTGAGAATTCAAACTCGGGTCCTCATGCTTACACAGAAAGCTCTCTCTTTCTTGTGTGTATGAGTGTTTTGCCTGCATGCATTTAAGTGTACCGTATGCATGCAGTGTTCACAGAGGCCAGAAGAGGGCATCAGATCCTCTAGAACTGGAGTTATGGGCAGTTGTTAGCCACCATGTGGGTGCTAGGAATCAAACCCAGGTCTTCTGCAAGAGCAGCCAGTGCTCTTAACCGATGAGCCATCTCTCCAGCCCCAACAGTAAGTAATCTTGCCCACCGAACCATCTCCCCAGCCTCTCCACCTTAACTTTTGAGACAGGGTCTCACTGGACCTGAAGCTTATCAGTTCATCCAGGCTGCTGCCTCCAGCACTGAAATTGCAACGGCATGCTGCTGTGCCCCATTTTTTATGTGGATACTGAGGGCCTGAGGGGTTCGGCCTTTACATGAGAGATGATGGGGTACACTGCGGGTTCTGTGCTAGAATACCGATTGCAGGTGATTGTAGTTAGTAACAGTAGACGTTCTCAAGGGAGTGAGTGGAAGAGTTTGAATGCGAGGCTCTCAGTCACAGGAACAAAGATGGAGCTGAAGCAAGAGAGGGGATGTGAGGGCAGATCTGAAAACCGCTCCAAGAATGGGATGGACAGTTGTGTGGGGAGTGTGGGAGCAGAGTGATGGACGGTGCCGGGGTCGCTGGCTTCCAAGCAGTCATTAAGTGGCATGTGAAACCTAAGTCCAGGAGAACAAATCAGGGCTGAGGTAGATGGGGAGATGACCTTGACTGTGGATGCTGGGGGTGCTCAAGGCCAAACAGTGATGTCAAGCAGCAGGTGCCCAGAGCTCCAGCTCTCACAGGTTCACTGGCTATGTGAGAATGGCCAAGTTACCTCTCGCTACTTCAGTGCAACAGAGGCGCTTAAGCGAAGCCCGAACGAACAGCAGTAACCTTGGGTAGAAGAATCACAGTAACATGTCTCAGACTTGGCTTAGAATTAAATGAGTTCACACATGTAAATTGCTTAATAATGGTGGCGGCTAAGCCTGGAGAAACCCTCAATTAGGATGTACTATTATAAAAGTATTAAGAAAAGAAGGGAACCAAGAATAAGATCTCACCAAGCCTGGCTGGCAGAGGCAGGGTGGCGGCAGCAACAAGCAGCCAGGGAGACCCCGTACACCGTGGGAGAAGTCACAGCAGCCGGGCCACCTAGCCCTCTCTGGTGATGGTGCCTTAGTCCTTTATCCCTGAGCGCTGGCTCTCATAATATACCAAGCAGGCATCTGTGCCTTTTCACTGAGAAATGAAGCAGGAAGAGACCCCACAAAATCCTGAGGCTGTGGTGACAGGTTGGGATCTGGTCAAACTCCACTCCCTATTCACAACCTGAACTGGTTCATTCCACATTCAGGACTCTGTTTCTTGGCTGTTTTCCCAGAATGTATTTGGAGTATAGATTTCTTTTTTTCTTATTTAAAATTATTTTTATTTTCTGTGTATGAGTGTATTGCCTTGAAGGTATGTAAGTGCTCCTGGGTCATGCAATGCCCACAGAGGTCAGAAGAGGGCATTTGAGCCCCTTGGAACTGGAGCTACGAATGGTTGTTAGCTGTCATGTGGGTGCTGGGAATCAAACCTGGGTCCTCTGCAAGAGCAGCCAGTGCTCTTAACCACTGAGTCATCTCTTCGGTTCCATACAGATGGTTTTATATTGTGTTTTTCCTATACTCAGTGGAAACAGAACTGGAGTCAGGTGGTTTTGACTCCTGGCACTTACTGAACTCTGTGTCTCTGTTCTATTATTAATACAAACCAGTAGAAGACATCATATCTCCCAGTTATTAGGGTTGAGTTAATTCACAGTGCCTGGCACATAATAAACATTTAATAAAAGTAAAGTAAATACATTATATTTTCTTTCCCTTTCAGAATATACATCAGTGTTTTCTTTCTTCCTGCTGGTCTGTAACTTCCGATGTTTTTAAATCATAAGTCACTAGAAAAGATCAAACTCAAAAAGGCCTCATTTATTGGTATTTGTTGGAGAGATCATCCATTCTGAACTGGGAATTAGTTTATAAATTTGAAGCCAGCTGTGGTAGTATACACCTGTAATCTAACACGTAGGCTACAGAGGCAAGACGATCAAGAGTTCATGGCCAGCCTCAGCTACATAGCACTTCTAGGCCAGTCTGGGCTCCAATGAGACACAGTCTCAAAAAACGGGGGAAAAAAATCCCCCAAACTGAAAACAAAACTAAAAGAGAATCAACCCTTAATTTTAGTTTATTATAGTTTCATAAGCATTGAAACTTCTACTGAGGATTCTTTCTCCCTAAGGGGGTAGAACACACTAGGTAGACATTATCAGAGCCCTTTAAGAAGCCTGGTGCCTGGAAGATTAGGATTTAATGGTAGAAACCCAGGTGTGAAAATCCTGATCTCCAGGATTTGCCCACCCTGTGTAATGAGATCTACCCAAGTGAGTCACTTTCCTTCCTGGGAGGAGGGCAGGTGTTGAAATCACCCCAGGAGGAATGGGTACTTTGGTGTTCTTGGCTGGGAAGCATTGGTGACCTGGGGCAGAGAGGTGAGTAGCAATTCTAAAACAAAACAAAAGCTAGCCCAAGCCCACAGCAGGACACAGAGGAAGTGTGTTCTAAAGTGTTCAAGCAATAGCAGGGTGTCCTGGGCAGTCGATCCAAGGAGAAAGAAACTTGTCTCCATAACAACCCCAACGTCACCAGGACACTGCCAGATTCTAAAGATTTTCCTGGAGGGACAGAAGAATCTGTTGCTGTTTGTGAGGGAAACACAAACAATCCTCCCTTCCTCCCTCACTCTGGAAGGCTGTCTGTTAGCTGTCAGGCTTTCAGTTAGTCCCTTCTCACCTTGAGGGAGGAAGATTCCACCTAGGAAGATCTTTGTTCTATGGGGAAAGATTCATACTCCACACAGACCACTAAAAGCACAGCTGAAATTATACATTTACTGTGGCATTGGAAGGCTAACTAGAAAGCACGGAGCTGTGTGAAGGAGTCAAGTGCATTCAACAGCCGCCTCTATCAAAAAGCACAGATAAGGTTAATTTATCCCATCATGGCTGATGTAAGCAGGAAGGATAAACTTTTTTTTTTTGCAGTGATTTAAGATAGCCATTAATTTTACTTTGCACATACAAAAGAAATTTCACAGCAATGAAATTATTCCCCCTTTTCAAAGAATAGTTGGATTGTAGGGGACAGGACTTACAAGCCTTACAGAAGCAACCGAGATGTCCTATCCAAGTCTGTATGCGAGGCCCTTGGCAGCCATGAAAACCTGTGACAGTGGTGGAAATCTCAGCAGTCTCCACTGTTAGCTGCATCATGATGAGGAATGTGGAGAGTCAATCTGTCACAAGAAGTCAAGTTCAAGAACACTTTCTGCTTTTTTAAAACTATTCATCTGACTGTTTTCATTCACTTCTTGGGGATGAATGGTCAAACATGACTTCTTAGAGTACAGACTGTGTGTGACCCCAAGTTTGGTAATAGCCCCTAGAGCTACAAATGACTTTAAGATTTTATTTATTGATGTGTATGAGTGTGTGTATGTCATATATGTGCAGATGTCTGCAGAGGCCTAAAAGAGGGTATTGGATCCCCTGGAGCTGGAGTTACAGGTGGCTGGGAGCCATCTCGCCTACCCCTACAAATAAATCTTGAGTTGCCAAGTAATCCTGAATTATCCTAGCCTCAGAGATAGATTCTTTGAAACTCAGCCTCTAAATCCTCAAACACAGAAAGGCTCTGTGAAAGTCACAGGGTCGCCCAGCTAAAGTCACTGCTTCTAAAAGTTTCCCAGGACACCCCAGGGCCTGGTCCTCTGAGGCCCTTGGCAGGCAGCCTAACCACCCCATGAACAAGTACAGAGCCTCTACTCTCTGAGCCTTTTCTTGTCTGTTAAGTGGTAAAGTCAGAGGAAAGTTCTAAATTTAAAAATAGGGCTAGGGCTATAGTGAAACAGGGAGAAAGAGGGGCCCCTAGAGGGTTCTTAGACTCATTCATAAAAGAATTTAAGAGTGGACCCAAATGGAAGCTTTTACAATTTTATTAGAATCTTAAAGAAAAATCCTCAGAGCAGGCGAGCTGGTAATTGTGGCAGCTGCCCTGAGGTGGTGAATAGTGGGAAGAAGGAAAGAAAGCCACGGAGCCGGGCAGGTTTAGAGCCTGTGTGGAGGTCAGACATGGGGCTGACTGGCAGCCACATGGCTGGGAAAAGGAAGCTTTAGAGAAAAAGTGAAGAAGCAAAGGAGAAATTATGCTTTCCTGAAGAGTTCGGGAAAGCGGACAGACTTCCGGAGACCTACATGGCTGTGGCTGGTCTGGAGGTTCTGCGGGGACCTGAGCTAGTTCCAGACAGAAATATTCGCTACTTAATTAACACACCAGGTGTCCCGCCCATCTATTTAGCATAACCTGCCTTCCTGAGAGTGGTTCCATCACCAGGTAATTGACCTGTAAGACTGGAAAAATGGGTCCTCCAACAGATAGACTAGACATTTTTTATAGTTAATAAAAACTGGACCAGTTAATTTATGGGGCTTATTGATGCTCTATCAGTAGGTCAGTTGGTACAGTACCTGCCTAGAATACAGAAAGTCCAGGTTACAAACCCCAGTACCACACACACTGGGTATGGCAGTACACACCTGTAATCCCAGCACTTGGGAGATAGAGACAGGATCTGCAGCCCTTCGCCTACACAGTAAGTTCAAAGCCAAGCTGGGCTACATGAGATCCTGTCTCAAAAAAAAAGGAATGAAGAATAAGCAGCCAGAAGATTAAACTCGCTGCCTTACTGTGTGTCTCTCTCTCCACAGGACCGTGTGTCTTTACTGCCAGTATTGACAAGTGGACAGAACAGGGATCAGCAAGAACATTTTCCAAGCAGGGGGTGTTCGTTTGTGCTTCCACACAATGACGGGATTTTTTTATGCAAAAAGGAGAGAAAGAACAAGAAAACCACTCACGTTCTTAATTTAGCATGAGCCAATTTTCAAAGCATGGAAACTCACTTTTGTTTCCGGATCAGCACCTGTGCAAGAGCCGCTCGGTGTTGCCTGGAGAAGGAGCCGTGCTTCTCAGAGTCCGTCTCAAGTGATTTGCTGTCATTTTCAAAAGGAAGAAATTCCAGCCTCCAGGAGGGACACGGGAACATAGAATGATCAAATCAAGGAGAAAACACTAAAATTACTAAATCCACAACAGCTCGCCTTATTTTTCTTGGACCCAAACTGTCAGGGTATAAACACTATTTGTTTCTTTTTTTAAGAAAAATAAAACATCAATAGTTTTGCTGTAAATAATAACACTGTATAAATTCTAACAGAAAAAAAATAGAATAAATGTTGATAAGGCACTGCCTCTTAGAACACAGATACGGCAAATGCATCTTCACAATAGGCTCTCAGGACTTCGCCCTAGAAGAGGAGGGACGGGTTCTGGGGGGAGGGGCGGGAAACTCTTCACTGATTCTTGTATATTAGCAATTATAATGTTTGTACATGCAAAACTGCTAGCTTGATTTTAAAAAGAAAACACAAATCTTTAAAAAAAAAAAAAAAATCTGCTGCAAATTTAAATAATTCCCTAAATGGGGAATTCTGTAGTTCTGTGAAAAAAACTTTTTTCTTCAGAATACTAATATTTTGATGCATGCGCCTCACCTTATTTTGATTAAACCTTTTCCAATTTTGCAAACACTACAGTATCCTGCAACAGACGATTTTATCTGTAAACACAAAGCCCTTCATCTAAATATTTGTTGCTATTGCCAATTTTTCAATGAAATGACCTAAACTGAAAAAAAAAAAAAAAAAAAAAAAAAAAAAAGCATACAGTAGTTGCTTGGGGGTGGGGGGCTGTTAGTCGCTTCCAGGGGGAAATGCTTACTGCTGTAGAGAGGGATGGTGCTCACAAGAGGCCCCAGTCATGGGTATTTAAAAATGGACTAAACAGATCCTTAGCTAGTAGGATACAGGCACGCTGTAAAAACTATTACTGTATTGTGTACCGGCTATAAGATGTAGACACCTTTGAGTAGCCAATCGTTGTAACCACTGGAGCGGTGTCATATTAGGCTAATAAGGCTGCTGTGTTTTAAAGGGCATTTTTATTTGGGTTCTGGTGAAATTCTTTAATTCGTTGATTATCTTCACATGAAATCAGCATTGATGGACACATAGCTCTAATGACATATGTATGAAAAAAGCAGACACTGGATGACCCTAGTCGATTATTTAAGCATAAAATAAATTGTGTTCAACTCTTCACCTATCTGTGCGCTACAGTGTCTGTCTGTTCTCTGGCAAAGGGTAACTATCCCCTAGTCATAGGCATCCTGGCCACACGACTGCCCACTAATCCTGTCCGCGCCTCTGGTCACTAAATGATACTCCCTAATGTTCAGTCCTCCCTTGAAAAATCCCACCATGCATAATAAACTCCATGCATTTTGTTGACGTATCAAGAATTAGAGACAAGATCATCTTTGCTCGTGTCTATTTCGGCTGCCCCCTGAAAATAAAGTTGGGGCTATTACAGCAGTAAGTCAAGGAGTTATAAACCGCCACTCTTGGGGGGGTCATCCAGCCTACAGTTGCTTTTAGTCCCTAAAGCATTTGTTTAGTTTCTTAATTGACATTTATTGTCAGACCTTATAAATTGAGAGCTTTTACTTGTAAGCCAGTTTTTCCACTTTTTATTTCTGGGTACTGGGGATTGAACCTAAGGCCTTGTGCATGCTAAGCACACGCATTACCACTGGGCTGTATCTGCAACCACCTTCTGACATTTTTGAGACAGGGTGTCACTAAGTTGCGCAGGCTGGTCTTGACCTTTCAAAGTGTCATCCTGCCTCACCCTCTGCAGTAGCTGAGCCTACAGCACCAGGCTGGCCTTGACGTATCTTGGCAAGCACCATTTGGCAATAGTAGATCTCATTCCCTAAAGACCTGCTCAAGCCAAATCTCCTTTCTCTCCAGCTGGGTATGTGCCCTAAAAGTCCCATGACCCAGCTTCTTTTCTTCCATCTGCAGGGCCTAATTAGCCTGGAAGGCATCAGAGTTTGGGCCCTTTTACTACATGAGTCAGAGCTGCACAGGAGTAGGTACTGTGTCTTTTTAACTGTTATCCCAGCCCATAGCCTAGCATAGTATGGTAGTAGAAACTGTCATCATCCCTTAAAGTACACACCATCCACTCTTCTGAACACATTCCATTCATTAACTAAGTCCTTATGACCACTGTATGAGTTAGGTGTGACCTTTGATAAGCAAAGTCCCCACATAGCTTATATAAGTGCTTAATACCATTCAAGGCTGTCACTGCCTGGCCACTGAAGATGCTGCCAGGTGGGATGCAAAGCCATTCAGCGGGCAAGTATAGAAAGCCTATTTGGTCCACGTAAGTTATTTCTGTGAAGAAGGAAGCTAGAGTGCATTTGGGTGACAGTCCAGATAAAAATGACCCTCCCTTCCTTTTATCGGAATCATCTTAGGGCAAGCTGAGGCTCCCAAAAGTTAAAAATAAATGCCCCCAAAACTCCTGTAAAACTAAGATCAGAGTGTAAGGGCCTTAGCCTCCCATCTAAGAGCTATGAATTCCTGACTCTTGGCCCTTGGCAGAGATCATTAGCTTGATCTGGAAATCCAGTGGTTACTTACCAGAGATGAAGGGGTTATGTTTACACACTTAGAAATCTGACTGCAGAAACATGAGGGGCTAAGCTTCGAGCAAACCCAGGTTCATAAATTTACTCAGAAGTATCAAGAAAAGCAGGATTTTATTTAACATCTAATTTATATGTATATACATGGATTGAATGGGGTATGTTACATTTTTCTAATATAGCCTGACCTGCCAGCTCATTCAAATGTATTTAAGATTTCTTTGATATTGCTGTAAAAAAAAAAATGAACTGTGACTGATAAATTCCTGAGATTTACCATTTTTCCTTTCTATATTTCTACCAAATTCCTAATTTTGTTAACTTCAAAGGTACTGTGACTGTGCTGCCCACTGATGGCATTATGTGCTGAGGATGCTTCCAGAAGGGGCCTCTTCACTGGTCATTCAAGCAACAGCTGCCTTTTCTGCTTCGACATCCCAACATTCCACCATGTTCTTTTTAGTATCACCTTGGGGTTCCATAAAGATGGAAGGTTCTCTCCACAACAAATAAACTAAAAAGAAAAAAGTGGTTTGCTTGCTGTTATTATTCTGTGCACCAGGTCACACTGGGTTGTGCAATGAGGCTGTGAGAAAACCCAGAAGGAAACCACAGGAGGAAAAGTTGCTGGCAGCTTCTGCTGGACCAGCAACCTAGACCCTCCTGAGTCTTAGTATTCACTTGTCAGGCGACGCTGGTTTATTAAAGGGTGTGTCATTTCATCATCACGGGGCATTGCTTCTCTGTCATTGATGGGTGGCCAAATCGTTTGGAAGTGAAATTTCCAAGGTTGAAATCTGAGGCAGTTTCTCTTTTTTTTTTAATGCTCCTTTGTTTAAAGATTTGTTTTCAATTGTGTGTGTGGGGGGCACCTGAATGTGAGTGCCCTCGGAGAACAGAGGTGTTGGATCCCCTGGAGCTACAGTAGAGATAGTTGTGAGCCACTGGATGTAGGTGAGCTTAGGTCCTCTGCAAGAGCAATACACTCTCTTAACCACTGAGCCATCCTTCAAGCCCTTAATTCCTTTTAATAAGTGTATAAGAGAGCAGATCATTATTTACATGGTTCCCTGTTCCCTAAAACAAAAACAAGACAGTGGATCCTGACAAATACCTTTGTTAATGGGCCAAATAACTTTACATTCATTTGTTCATTCATTCATTCATTCATTTAGAGGCAGAGTTTCATGTAACCCAGGCTGGCCTTGAACTTGCTATATAGCCAAGGCTGGACCTGAACTTCTGTTCCTACTGCCTTCTCCTGAGTGCTGGAATTATAGAACTAGCCCCACCACACTCAGTTTATGAAGTGCTGTGGATGGGACCCAGGGTGTCATGCCTGCTAGGTAAACAACCAACTGAGCCACACTCCCAGCCCACTGTTGCTTATTTAGTAGAATTAAATGCTAACATTTCTAAATAGAAAATGAAGCTGAGCTGTGTTCAGCCAGGCAGACATATTTGTTCTTACATCCCTTGGCCCTTCCTGAGTTAGGATTGCATTTCCAGTAGGGAGGACAATCAGACTCCTCCTCACCAGTTCCAGAGGAGTTCCATGGCAGAGCTGAGGTGAACATGCTCAGTGGATTCTGAGGACCCTGAGGAGAAGCATGTACTGTGGGAGAGAGACCAAGAACAAGAAAGGCTGGGACCTTTTCCCTAGGACTACCAGGGAGCTCCAAAAGAAAACATTATCTTTCTGCTTAATTTCACCCCAACCCCTTCAAGTTACCACTTTTCTGCTGACTCAAGTTGTGGTGCAATGCAAAGAACTGGATGAAGTACTGACTCGGCTTTTCACAACAGGCCTTCAGAGGAAACTGTGATCCTTGAGTGAGGGGACTCAACTTAGCTCTCTAAAGTATCCACAGTCTAGTAGCCACTCACTGACCAAACTCCCTAGTACCTCACCCTCATCACTGAAGTGGGCATCCTTGCCCTGGCTGTGGCTGTAAACCTCACCCTCATCACCGACCACTGAGAACCAGGCCATGAAGTGGAATATGTGTGCTGGGCCCCGCTCTACAAAAATGGCAGCCGGGTTGCTATGTGCTTGCCGGGTCGCGAAGCACCAAAGCATCCAGAAACCACATCTAGGACTTCCTTGGGCTACTTCCAGCCTGCAGAGATACTTGAACTACATAGTTTGAAGTGATGGGTGACATTTGAAAAAAACAGATTACATGAAAACTTCGATCTTGAGTTTTTTTTCTTTAAAAATCTGAAGATGTGACCATACCATTTCTGGAATTCTCTATAGCCCCAGTGACCAACAGCAGAAAAAACATATGTTCGAGGATCCATCATGAGCCCTCTGCCTCCTTTCCCTCTTTCCTCTAAAATCCAACCTATTTTAATCATTTGAATTCCCGGTGTCCATTTGCTGTGGTTGAAGAAAGAAGAGGACACACCGATGCCACCCCGCTGTGACCCTTCAGGTCCTCTATGGCAAGCCAGTCGCCTAGTGCACTATCATCCCAGGATAGAACAAAGGACTGAGTCAACAAGAAAAAGGCCCAAGTCCACCGTCATTTGAATTCCCGGTGTCCATTTGCTGTGGTTGAAGAAGAGGACACACCGATGCCGCCCCGCTTGTGACCCTTCAGGTCCTCTATGGCAAGCCAGTCGCCTAGTGCACTATCGTCCCAGGATAGAACAAAGGACTGAGTCAACAAGAAAAAGGCCCAAGTCCACCCGTCCCTACATCCATCTCACTCCACGGCGTACATTCAGTGCCCACAACCTTCCGAGTGGAGAGAACAGAAGCAGCCTCTGCATGAGATAGATACCTAGGCCTCTTGGGAAAGGAAACCCTAGAATACATGGAAACTGGTCACAGCCCATCCTGCTGAGGAATGGGAAGATGATGTAGGTGGAGGGCAGTGCTGTGGCCCCTGGGCACCACAGCTGCACCTTTCCGGGTGATCTCCCTGAACAGAGAGGACCATCGTGCCTCCCAGGGCACAAGAGCAGAGCTGGCCACACCAAGGGTGTGCAGTCAGTATTCAGCCTAATACACCCAGCATTTGCTTGCTCTCCAAGGCGGAGCCTCACTGGACCCCCTCAGGGCTGCAGTACATGTCTGACAGCTGAGTCTGGGTGCACAGATCACCACAGGTAGTCAGCACTTGGGTTGTGAAGAGCAGAGCTGGTAGTCCCACAGCCTGGCTTGCTACCTTGGCTACTGAGATGCGTTGCCATCTGCAGTTAGAGCCTGAAACAAGAAGCGAGGGGACTAAGGAGATGGCTCTGTGGGTAAAGAGCTTGCTGCACAAGCATAAAGACCTGAGTTCAAATCTCCAGAACCCATGTTTAAAAAAAACCAAGGTATAGCCCACTTGCCTATAACCCCAGCACTGGGGATGGGGCGGGGCTGGTAGAGGCAGGGGGATCCTGGGAGCTCACTGTCCAGTCAGCCTAGCCAAAACAGTGAGCTTTGGGTTCAGTGAGAGCCCTTATCTCAAGGGAGTAAAGCAGAGAGTGACAGCTGACATCCTCCTCTGTCTTCCGTCCGTGTGCACAACCTACACAACAAAAGGCTACATCAGCGCCGGGGACTCGAACCCGTGACCCCCGGCGAGGTGAGGATTGGGGATGAGTAAGCACG